TACTCAAACAAATCAGTAAGTGCAATTACTCAGTATCCGGCGAAGTAACGGTATCTTGTGAACATGGTAATAAACATTCGGGTTCCATAAGAGGCAAAAAAGTTATTGACTGAGCACACAATTTCCCTTTTAAGAAGGCCTTACACCGTGGACAGTTTGTATATTTTAATGTTTACGTTTTGAGATACGGCACAGTAAAATAAATTATCCTGAACTAAAATAGTTTCGGGCTTTGTCCGAATACAGTATAGCCTAATTTTATTATCGTCACGAATAAAATATTCGTGTGTTATTACTTCTGAAACATATTTTAACTTTCTTAAATGTTCAATGGACTTACTGGCTGTTCTTAAGTTATGACTTTGTCTTTTCTAACAAATAATTTAAAACAAATACTGATATCAACACATTTACTCTTTTCATACTGACGTAAAAGAACTATGCATAAAATAATTTCTGGTTTCTAAATCCTTAGTACGAACCTTCTGGAAAAGGGGCTGTATTTTCTTACGTAAATTTACAATTACTATGTAGAGGATAAATCATTTTAGGCTATATATATATATATATATAACAAATTACGATCGGTGTTCGCCCAGAGAAACATGCAGATCTCCATATTTTTGTAAATCGTCTGTCACTGGGGTACAATTTTGACCAAAAGTGGAATATGCAGACAAATTTTAAAAACATTCCTCAAAATCAAATTTCATGAAATCCTGCTTGGCGGTTATGGGGCTATTACGTGAGGACGGACGGAAACAGATCGAGAAGCGCATTTTTGTAAATTTTCCCTGCGAAATTTCTAAACATACACGACGAAAAAATACATAATGTGTGGAACATACAAAAACTAAAAAGTAAGCAAAGAAATGCGTAGTTAGAATGTATATTAGATTATAAATATACGCCTAACCGTCAGTTATTGCTGTGCATGGTGAAAATAACTGTGGCCTAAAGGTACAGCACATAAAATGAGTGAAGACAACTGACTCAAGACAGCGTGGGTTCTTGAAACTAGGGGAGGAATAAGAAAAAGAATATGGAAACATTACAAGATATTTATAGGCGGATACAGACCTAATCCGCGAAGATAATTACGCTTACAAGAAGAAGAGAAATGAAGTCAATGAAATATAAACAGGATATATGTGTTTTGAGACCATTATCAAGGTTACTAGATCAGAGGAAGAAAACAAAAATGAATCGACAGATATCGAAAGTAGCCAATATGAATAAAAAATACTAGAAAAAATGAAGAGATCACTTTAGGGGCAGACAACCGTGTCCGATCGTGGCAGTTCCAAGGGCAAAATTTGGAGTGACCGTCACGGATATCAAACTCCAAAGTAATACCTCTCAAGGTCACGTTTTGGACTGCACTGCACTGCTTACTGGGACTCACCTAGCACAACACAAAGGAAGCAAGGCAGGTATCACAAAGGAAACGTGGAAAAAAATGTGTTCCTACAAAGACAATTCATACTGAAATCATTAGATGATGAAACGTTAGCTAACTTATCATTGGTAACTGTGTCAACATTGGAACATGCAGTAACATTAACAAGCATTTTAGACGTTCTTTAGACGAGAACAGACTCATAATAAGAAGGCTGTTTTAGATGTTCAACCTTCGTTTATTCTGATACTACTGGAAGATTCTAACATGCACGGAGCGTTATGATTATCCGTGTTTACCCATATTACACTTAAAAAAAAACGAAAACTACAAATTCTTCTGTCTTACATTCGTGGTTCAGTGGTACTCGAGTAGATGAAATGCGTCGTTAGCCACGTTCAGCCAACCAGACGCTGGCGTCGAGCGTAAGCCTTAACTAGCTGGCTAACAACGCCTGGCTGACTAATGATGCATTTATCAAGTCCAAGAGCTTGATAAAAGTTTTATCATGTAAAGTGAAAATATGTGGTCTTCTCAGTTCAGGGAATCCACCAGAAGGGATTGTGTGATTTTCATTTCATGCACACTGATAAAAGAACGGACGAAGCAGGTTTGCCAACTAGTCTAAAATTATAACCCCACAGGAGTGCGGTCATGTTCCAGCAAAGTGTCGATTATATGTAAACTCTGGATGTTTTGCCTGGTTCCAAATCCAAAATTTGGACTTAATTTTCTGCAACCTGTACGACGGTGTTCATTATATTCAGTTACATCCTGTTTAACAAGAGCAGACAAAATATTGTCAGGTCTCTGTTTTTCTTAATCGGTTGCCTGAAGACAACTAACCCCCCCCCCCCCCCCCACTTTATTTTTAGCCTGAAAGCGAATTATAGTTAGCGTTACATTATACAAATTACCGTAACTGGAAACATACGCTTTTTACCACATCATTGAATATCCCTCTCTCCCGTTTGAGGCGTTTAAAGACGTGACCGGCCGTCAGGCGAGGACAAGGTTACGGAGGAGAAGGTGGATCACAGCATTCTTCAGAAATGGGGCGGGGAAGTCGTGTGACAAGCACCTAGCTGCTTGAGGACGGATGTATCAAAAAAACGAAATTAGGTTATTTAAAAAGCCATTATGCATTACGTCTGATTGAGAACGTGACTGTGACATCTCTTTGCTTTCAATAGCACATAGAAGCTCTAATCGTTATATCTAAAACAAACGTAGTATATTACCCGTCAAATTTAACGGGCTTGCAGAATTATCTTTGCAAATTGCATTAAAAGTATAATATTTATAAAGTAAATTAATGTGAAAACGTCTTTATGGCGACTAAAGTCACGTTCCTGATAAATACACCAACGCGTAACCGACCGCCCGGCTCCCTCCAAACGCACAATGTTCTACCACAGCCATAACTGCGTTTTCATTTCTTGCTACCACAGTCGCCACTGTCAGGGCTTAATTTCAATTTATTCCACATCGCATAAATAGAGCATTAGTACAGTAAAGTGTGACAGACAATTGATGTTATATTAGGAATGCAATATATTTATAGGTTTAAGTGTTGAGACATACAATTGATGACGCGAAATTAAACACTTACTTGTACTGCCAACATGACGTACAGAAAATATCTGTCGTCACAAAAGCTACTTCTGTTTTACCGAAATAAAAATCAGACAAGGTTAAATATTTCTGATACAACGGATAATTAAATTTACTGATTGATTATTTGATTGTACGCAAAAGTAGAAAAGAGTAAAGACAATTATATTTTTAGTCTAACATTATGTCAGCAAAACTATCGATATACATAAACACAACGTTATATTATTTATATCTAGTTAGGTTTCATATTTTTTGATAATACGTTTACACGTTTAATATCGCCTTTACATTGACAGAATGCATGAAGAATAACAACTATGTGTGTTACAGTTTTTGGGCTCGAGGCATATGAAAACTAGTGACGGTGTAATGACACTTCACTATGACGACAAATGTAGAAAGCAAATGTTTATTAATTTTTAAAAGAGTGGGCGTAAATGTTTACTTAATTACTCATATTCCGGGCTACCAATGACAATAATATCTGATTAGTCCACTGCTATAGTTTTCAATTTCGAAATGTACGAGGGTCGCTCATTAAGTAATGCCCCACATTTTTTTTCTCAGCCAATAATGAAGATAGAAAAGTGCACTTTTACATGCTTGAGATTTGATGTTTCCCGCGTTCGTGTACGGAGTTTCAAATGATTCCAACCGAAGGCGGAGCTGTAGTGAACTGTTAAAATGGCGTCTGTGAACGACTCTCGTTACAAGCAACGAGCTGTAATTGAATTC